ATAGCATTGTCCAAGCTTTAGCGTCGGGCATCACCCACTGCCAGACCTTTCACGTCAGCCAAAGAGAGAAAGAGAAAGAGAAAGAGAGAGAGAGAGAGAGAGAGAGAGAGAGAGAGATTCTGCTACCCGTAACCAGAAACGAGTTGTGACTATACCTGTAATAGTGTCGTAAGAGTGTAACGCCTGCATCTAAGGATAATGTTATAACCACTGCTTATTTCTATGGATGACGGGGTGGGGTGCAATCAGTTTAAAGCCCTCTTACTTGACCAAGGCTGCAACCAGTATGATCTTCGATAAGATTACATATACCGTGGGAGGAGAATATAAGTAGTAGTAGTCAAAGTAGTAGGAGTAGTAGTAGTCGTAGTAGTTTTTTTTTTTTTTTTTTTTTTTTTGTGGAGGGAGGGAAAATGCATTGAGGCACACCACAGGGACAGGCGTAGTGTGGAATTTTGTAGATTTTTTTATTAGACCACCCATACCCACTAAAATCCCCCCCACACCACGCGCCGTTTGGCTTTAGTTCTACCCCGGAACCACGTTAGCATTACTCCAGGCTGAAGCCACCAGGGAGACCATCGCGTTGGACTCATGGTTGAACTTTATGAGTACGTCATGCAAAAATTCAGTACTTACAAATTTAAACCATTGTAAGTACTGAACTTTATTTTTTTTATTTTTTCTTATTCGTTTTTATAGTTTTTGTTTTAGTGAGTTACATGAATGCAGTACTAATTTTTATAGAGCTTTGTTCTTCCTATGGGTTTTGCAACCCCCTTTTTACCTGATAAATTGTGTGTTCTTATACTCATCTTATGTTTAAAGAACTTCGTTCTAACCGTGGATCTCATGACCCATTTATACCCTCTGGTTTGTTAATTTTAGTTTTTTTTTCTTTTTTATTTTTTGTTTTATTTTGTTTTATATTTCATATTATTAGTGCTTCATATTTTATTTCATAACTTTTTCCTTCATTTTTTGTCTTTCCTTGATGTTATTCCTTTTTTTTAAACTTATTTATTTTTTTTTTTCCTCTTCTTATTTCATTTTTTTTTTCATTCCATTATATTTTTTTATGCCTTTTAAATTTAATTTAACTTTTTTTTTTATGTGGAGTGTAAAGGGGAATGGTGAGTCAAGGTGTAGAGAAGGAGGCTAGTGCAGCATGGTTGGAAGACGTAGGGTGAGGGGAAGTGTGTAGGGGACTGATGGTGAGGGTGACGAGGTAAGGGGGAAACTTAGGAGGAAGAGACTTCCGGTAAGCGACTTCCATTTTATCCAATCTATCGTTTTAAAAATTCCAGCCTCCCTAGTACGCGACATAAAGAACTTCGTTCTAAAAAATGTTACAGATTCAAATTGTTTTGATAATATGTTTTTAACAATTATCGTTTTTAAAATAAATTATGAAAAAAAAACTTTTTCGTACGAAACTAGGACTTTAGCAAGCTTATGATAAATAAGTTTGTTCAATATTAGACCATTTATACTCAAAATACGTATGTACATATATGGCTTCATGCATACCTATTTCATATAGTTTTTACGTGTGGAATTCCATATAAGCTCTTATGAACCCCCAGTGACACCTAACAACCATCTATAGACCTTTATTGACTTTGTCTTTTTTTGCTTACACTCGCACACCCTTACTTTCGCTTACTAAGCCAGCTGTCATCTTCTTACTCAAACACTACAATATGAGCTATCCTTCACTGTACACGTCTCTTACTTGTCTTTTTCTGCTCAATGATTGCTGCTGTTTAAGAAACTAACCCGCTGACAGACAACGTGCCTTAGAAAAAGACTTTTGACAGGATCTAAGAATCAAAGTCGGGGGCATCAGAAACTAACAGTACATGGTGTACAAATATATGTATATATATATATATATCCTTATATTATATAGTTGTATTGACGAAAGTGAGTCTCAGCCCTCCCCCACTCCCCCACAGTTCTTCCTCGATTAACATAGTTATTTGCTTGTTCTTACGTCATTTTTGATCGAATTATATTTACGTAACCTCAAATCCTCCCAGCTCCTACCTAAACTTTAATTTCTTATCAACATTACTATAGCATTTATTTTTTAATTTAATTCGTGCGGTGAAAGACCTTCTCTGATATTAACAAATTCTACTAAGAAATTAATATTTATGTTATCATTTGTTTTATCAAATTCTTTGTGAGTCACGTATTCTGCTGTTGTTAACTCATTCTCAGCCTGCATTGATAATTACACGAGTGATGTTGTTATTTTGTCTACTCAATCTATCAGTGGAGGTTGGCGCGCGGAGGACGCAGAGGGGTGTCAGCCCCACTAGTATATACGTATTAATATATATGTGTGTGTGTACTTCATAAGTTATAAGTAATAATATTTATACAGTATATCGCTACAATATTATTTTTAAGCTCATTGCTCTGAAAAAACAAACAAAAGAAAGTGGGGAAACCAGCTTCCAAATATCCTTTCATATCAGAATGAGTAAATTTTTTGTATAAATAATTTTTTCTAAGAAGTGTAAATTTCGCTGTATTACAAGAAATGTGTATCGAACTGTACACTGTTATTTAAAATTTTAACTTTTAACTAATCTGATTGTATATTATAACTTTTTAGCGAGTAGTCTATAATGATTTTATTCATCTCTAAAGAAAGACATAAACTTCAGAAACCGTTGATTGGGATTGTAAAAAAAACTACAGGCATTAATTTAGTTTCTACAATTATTTTCTGTATGGTAACTCTTTTACTGTTGTGTTTATCAAGTTCAGACAGTAACGATAAATTTTTTCTAAACTGTTTTTTTAGGACTTAATAGTTCTAAAACTATGTAACAGTATGCTGATTAGTGCTTTTTTTAGGCCATGCAAGCCTTTTACTGTATGAAATAATGTATGAAGTAATAAAGGTAAAGTGAGTATTAAGTTACAATAACATTCGACTTCATGATAGACTACAATGACAAGAAAAAAGTCACAATATTGAGTCTTTTTCATTGCAACCTGTTTAAGTTTGTTTCGTTAAAATATGAAAATAAAATCTTAATACTTTGTGGAGTATAGTAATGATACTAAGATAATTATTGTATTATTTTTAAAATAAGATTTTTTTTTCATTTTCGTTAAATACAAAAGTATGACATCTGATTTATTTTAACAATGCGTTAGCAAGTTGGGATCCTAAAGGTGCTTTTAAATTAGTTAAGTTATTAAGACAAAATATAATCGCTCTATCATTATTTAAAAATTGTTTGGATTCTTTAAATTATTTGCCTACATATAAATGGGTGATTTTGCTGTCACTTGCTCAGATCGTGTCCAGTACTTATACTCACGTGCTATGATGAAATCCAAAACTTAAAAAATTGCAAATTGTGTTTTATATTGCCGACTTTGCTTGACATATTATTTTATACCAATATACTGATCCCTTTATTAACATAACCGACCATTTAGAATCAAATTTTCCATTTCGACTCATGTCCGCAACTCAATTTTACTCATGAAAGCTTTAACCAGTGAACAATAAGGCTTATATGATACTTTTATGTGTAAGCATTATATACTGTAGATATTAATGATAAGATTTGTAACCTAGTCACACCAAAAGTCAACAAAGACAAATAAGTTTTCACTGCATACATTTTGTCCAGACATTTGCACCATAATCGAGGTTTTAACAAAAATCAGTTCAAACAAGTAACTTTTTGGACTTAAAATACTAACCAATCATTACTTTTTTAAGTGCAGGACTAAAATAAATAAATCTTTATGACAGTATTACCTGATGTTGTTACCTCTCAAATAGCCAAGCTTTTCTTTTTGTGTATTTCACTTGTGCAAAAATTTCATTCCGTTCTGACCCACATGGAATAACCAATCAGTGTCCTTGTGCAGGTACTCAAACTACAGGTTTTTATTGCATTTAAGGCTAGTAAATAAACTATGGGTGGATTAGTTATTGTAATACGTCTATGAGTAGTACTGGCACCACAAACTTTGAAAATTCCATTCCAAACTTTTCCATTCCGACCCTACATCACCTCAACATGCTGTTTTTTTTGTTTGAGAGCAGTCACTCCCAGCAAAAATTATTTCCATCACTGTTGGGCTGAAAGAGGAGATCCATGTCTCGAGATTTCGTCCAGTTGGCCCTCTTTCGCAACATAACTGCAAAAACGGTAGTGCTGCTTCTGACGTTGGTAGCCAAGTGGTGCACTCCATTAGATGGCTTTATCTGGGCTTCAGTAAAAACAAAAACATATTTTTAATCATGGAAATAAAAATCTCTGAATTTTATGTCCCGAATAAAAAATTGTAGTGATTTTATAAAAAAATGAATTTTAGCTAAAGTCACTTTATCAGGGATATTTATGCTCTAATTTAAACAGCTGTAACTTTTGAATGGAGGCACAAAATTGAACAAAATTTTTTTTAATCAGTAGGTCTTGATCCCAGCTATCATTTTAGTCCAGTCAGAACACTTAAACCTTCAAAAGAGCTTAGCTATACGTGTAAGAAAGTGACACAATTTTTCGAAAATCGATAAAAACTGACTTTTATGTTACTTCGTACAACTTTTGACCAGCAAATTTTATAGTTGCATCACTTCAGTTATATGTTACTGATGTTGTTTTCTGTAAAAATACTATTAAAGAAATGTTTTTCAACCATCTTCTTTTTAAAAAATTTTTCAAGTNGACTATTAAGTCAATATGCATTTTCACCCTACAAACTGAACTATTTACGGTAACAAATAATCAGTGAACTCAAATGATTATACTGCCAATTTCTGTTTATTATTGAACGACGCTTCAGCCCACACAGCGCTAGATCGAACGCGTTGCCTGACGTGACCCGATATATAGATATCACGAATATTTAAGCCATTAGAACCTTTTTTTAACTTAAATTTTCTACTAAGTATTGAACATTATTAACAGTTTTATGTTTGCGAGCTTATGGCTCTAATACTTCTGTATGATTTTTAGAGTCTTCTTGAAACAGAACTAAGCGAAGAAAATGTTAAAGTTACGCACAGTCCTTTAGGTAATTTAAAAAAAAAATATTTATTGACACCCAGGCAGAGTGAAAGAAATTTGGACCTGAGTGATCCCTTATCCACAGTAAGGAAAACAAAAAAATCTGCTCGATTAAGACTTCATGGTATAGGTGAGTATTGAATAAAATTATTTAACTTTTTCAAGCACTCTGTTAACTTATATTAAATATTATTATTGCATTATTACATTAATATTATAAATTGAAATCATAAGAATCTGGCACGAGTTTTTTTCTTCTTAAAAAGGCTGTTTTTTTTTAGTTGATTGGTGTCGACAAGAATACACAAGAAAAAAATCAAATGATACATATGCAAGTTGTGAGTCACCAGCAGAATGTTATTTTTTACGACAGCCAAGTACTCACCTCACACATCAACGAGGAGTTTCTCGACCATCAAAAGGGTGATCTCACTTTCTAAAGTTCTGTTATCACTGTTTAATAAGTACTTATCTATAACTTTTTATAATTGAAAAGTAAATAATAAAACTATGTCCAACAATTTCTACTGAATCACAATGACTATTAAGTCAATATGCATTTTCACCCTACAAACTGAACTATTTACGGTAACAAATAATCAGTGAACTCAAATGATTATACTGCCAATTTCTGTTTATTATTGAACGACGCTTCAGCCCACACAGCGCTAGATCGAACGCGTTGCCTGACGTGACCCGTTTGAGTGGTCAATTATTTTATTTGAACCTGATGAGGGCCTTAAAACTTGTTTCTGTGCAGGCTGAAGCGTCGTTTAATAATGAACAGAAGTTAGCAGTATAACCATTTGAAATCACTGATTATTGATTAATCTATCCACTGCTATTAGAGTACGCCTAATGCTCTATTTACGGCAATGTTGTACTTAACAAATTGAAGATATATGTTTAAAAGGCATCCTTTTTACTAATATAATAAATCTTTTAATACCGAGTATGAGGGTCGTCTTAAAAACAAGCATACACATTAAATTTAAGACCTTACTTACTGACCTTATTACCTGCTGCCTTGATTCTACGTTTCCAAGAAGATTCAGTACAGGCAGCTTTATTGAAAATAAATTTACATCTTATAGGTTACAAAATAAAGGTTAGTTTTCTAATTACAATAGATAAATCTTTTTTTTTGTCTCATCATAATAGACAGGCAGTGATTGAAACATATTTGGTTTCTAAAAATCCAAAGAATACGGATCTTAAGTAAAGTCTCTTACGTCAACTACAGAGCAGGTTCATTATCCACTGCAAAATGAATTAAGCTTCGTCATTGATTTAATAAATAAGGTATTTTCTAGTGAAAAAGAAAAATTTTTTTATTTGTTGCATAACATTAGCGATTACGATAGATTATTTCTTTCTTAAACATACCTTCCATGACTTAGTGGTTAGCATGCTAGCCTCCTAGCCAAAGATATTCGAAGAATCATGAAGTTGACACCCATTAAAAATCATAAAGAATTTTATTTCCAGCTTTTTCGATAAAATGAATACCTAGAATACCAAAACATTACTTATCAGAATTTTAAAACAAATAGTTAAATATTCTGATGATGTCTGTACTTCTGGAGGCTTTTATTGAAAAAAAGGCCACGTCCTAGCCAGCTCAATAAGTACTGTCACTATTGGTTCTATAACTTTTTAGTACAGCAATTTTATTGGTTTAGTAAGGAATAGTTTTCTACGAAACGTAATAATAGCTTGGGTGTGCTTAAGACAATGACTGTGCCCTGTATACAGTACCCAGTAAGATGTATAACTAAGTCATCTGAGAGTTACTTTGCAAGGAGACCGCATACTCGCATACTCGGGAAAAAAAGCTTATCAAAGAAAGCCAACAATATAGATAATGATAAGGGACATAGTATACGTAAGAACTCTTAAATAGGTACGCGTATAAGCCTAATACTGCAACTAGAACTACTTCTACTACAACTTCTACGACTAATACTACTACTACTTCTACTACTACTACTACTACAACTACTACTACTACTACTACTACTACTACTACTACTACTACAACTACTACTACAACTACTACTACTACTACTACTACTACTACTACTACTACTACTACTACTACTACTACTATTACTGCTACTACTACTACTCCCGGGTGGGGTTTTCGCTAGTTTCTCCATACCGGGCGCTTCCCCGGGTGGCGGATAGGGGCATCCTCTTAAAATATGAGATGACGATTGGCAGCTGGGGTGGCTCTCTGTGGTGGTGTTCTGGGGCGTGAATCGGGGGGCGTGTGTGGCGTTGGCGTATGTATTTGCGGCGATGTTGACGGGGGACTAGTGCCCCATGCCTCCATCGGTGTGGATGCATGGGCCTGCTCTGCTTGTGCTCCTTGTTCTTCGCTTTTTGCTGCTTCCGTGGGTGGCACTCCATTGCTTGATGCGGGCCAACAAAAACTAGCACCCATCGTGTATAGAAGTAAGCGGCGGTTAAAACATTCTTTTCAGATAAATGCATCTCACACTCTCACTAAACAAACACAGGGACACTTACGGATTGTTCTGGGTTTTGTGTGGTGGGTCCTTTTCCGGGCTTGCGTTGGGGGCCCGGCAATGGGTGAAGCCGGATAATAAGGCCGGGGTAAGTCTGGATAACCACATCTAATATGGCTGTACGCCTCATGAACAAAAAAGACGTAGTGGGCCGACTAATCTAGGCCTACTACCACTAAGGAGGCTATATGGCAGCATCTTAGTGCCTTAAACCAGCCCGTTTGGTTATGTTGTCTACGTGGTCTCGGGATTGCACACCTGCCGCTCGTCTTGCTGGGATGACCGCTGTGTACAATTAAATACATACATTATACACGAACACCCATCTAACACTTGTTACTCAACGCCAGGGCAGTCTCCGCGGGTGGGACTGAGGGAGAGTGGCAACTCCCGGCCGGCCCGAGCAAGTAGCGGTTTTCTTTGGTAACAAAGAGGGCTGCTGCCCTGGTTTTAACCCTTTCCGAATACTCATTTCTAGAAAAAAAAGTAGTGCTGGCCTTCGCGGGTCAGTACGATATCAAAAAAAAAGCCAATATAAAAAACGTCGATGCAAAACAAGTACCTCAGGCGGTAACCTCTCCAAAAGAATCCGCCGGCAGTTCCGATCTAGTGAAAGCCTGGGTGACTGACCCAGGCCCCACGGATTCTGGGGGGGAGGGCCACAAAGACGTGTCTCATGGCCAACAGGGACTGCTTAATGTTCCATGGCCTTTTCTTACAGACAAAGGACGAAGAGGAAGCCTGTCGAGTATAGGCACTAACGACACCGAGGTTAGCAACGTGTCGGTATTTATCCACCAGACCCAGGAAGAGCTTGCCTCTTTAGAAGAAAGTGTCACGAGGCTCGGAGTAAAGCGACAGTAAGTTGCTGATTAAGTTTAATCAGCAACGAATGACATTGCAGAGACGCTACAACTTATTAGTGAAAAGTACGGCAACACAGCGAACGCTGTTAAAAATGGGCTCAAAGCAGCGCTTAAGCATCTTCAAGAAGCAGGGGTGCTAAGAAAAAGATGTTTTACTGGAGTAGATCTGTATACTAACGCTTGAAAGTTGTCATTTAAATCCCTGCAGTGGAGAGAAAAAAGGCGAGATAATTCCCAACTGCATGTACAGAAAAGAACCCTGAACAATGCCCTTAAGGAAATAGAACGAAGTAAAAGAAATAGGAGCCCAACGGACAGCCCTAAGAAACGCCAGCAAACCATTATCCCAAAAATAAAAGAAAACAGGCAGTGGCAAACAAAAAGGAATTCTCCTGAATAAAAAAACAAGCCAGAAAAAAAAGTAGATGCGAGAACAACAGTAGTAGTAAAGATGGCCGAAGGGCAGGCCTTTGCAAAGGTGCTGAGGACGATGAAGGCGAACTTTGACCCTGATAAGGCTAATGTGGCAGTCCAAAGTGTTGTCACTACAAAAAAAGAAGACATACTTAGTAAGGCCAAAGGTGTAGGGAATGCTACTGCATTTTTACAGCAAATTAAAATGTCGGTAGCTGGACAGGGTACTGTCGAAATGAGCAACAAAAAAGTGACATTAGAGGTCTGAGACCTAGATGCTATTGTAAAGGAAGATGAGGTTAAACAGGCTCTAACTAGGACTTTTAAACTTATGAGCCAGGAGCCAGAAGTAGCTCTCTTAAAGCCTTATGCCAGAGGACAGAAGCTGGCGTTAATAAAGCTGGACGAAGCAACTGCCAGACAAGTAGAAGAGGAAGGCAGGTTATGAGTTGGCTTCGTAAGCCAACGAATACGAAGAAGACTTTAAGTATCAAGATGTTACAAATGCCTGGGACATAGAGACGTTCTAGGCAACTGTAGAGAAAAAAACAGATTAAAGCTTTGCTTCAAACGTGGAAGCTCAAAGCACCGAAAGAAAAAGTGTCCAGGCCCAGCTCGTTGCTTCCTTTTACCAACGATGGACAACAAGCACGGAGCAGGCAGTAGGAGTTGCCCTTTATTTAAAAAAGCGCTGAATAGGCTAGGGGTGAAGACCAAGCATGACAAACATAAGGCAAAAAGGCCTTGAGTTGAAAGGCAGGCTTATGTGGACCCACGCTGCGCTGGGTACTTTTTACCTCTCAGCATGGGAAAGCATCAAGCTTATAGTGATGAGTGCTAGGTTAGCGGCCTACTATAGAGCGCTAGAAAGGGTGCTGGTCCACAGGGACCCAGAGTCCTTTTTAGGACTCGAGATCATCAGCACCTCTAGCAAATGGTGGCGAGACAGCTCGTTAATGCTGTGAGATGCGATGGTCTCCTTGGTGGCTTCACCCTAAAGTAATTCTAATGCGGTTCCGAGGTTGATAAAAATCCACGCCGCATGGGAGCGGGGTTTAGTCAGTATGGGTAGTATTATAAAAAAAATTCATCGAGTTTCAAACAACCGCAATCCCTTCAGTGTGCCTGAATGCTTTTTCCCTCCCTTAAAAAAAAAAAAAAAAAAAAAAAAAAAACTACATCTACTACTACCACTGCTACTACTTCTTATTAGCAAACCATGTCAAAAAAAAAAAAGAAAACAGGCAGTGGCCAACAAGAAGAAATTTTTTTGAAAGACAAAACAAACCAGAAGAATACAGTGGAAGTGACAACACTAGTAATAGTCAAGATGGTTGAAGGGCACACCTGTGCAAAGGTTCTAAAGACGATGAAGGCGAACTTTGACCCTGATAAGGGTAATGTGGCAATCCAGAGTGTTGTCACTACGAAAAAAGATGACATTTTTTTAAGGCTGAAGAAGTAAAGAATGCTCTTGCATTATCAGCAAATAAAAAAGTCGGTAGCTGGACAAGGTACTGCCAAAATGAGCAACAAAAAAGTAATATTAGAGGTCCGAGATCTGGATGCTGTTGTAGAGAAAGATGAGGTCAAAGTGGCTTTAGCTAGGACT